AAATTAGAAAAAAAAATGAACTTTGAAAATAATAATTATAGGAAAATATGAGCTGAATAGGGCAACCCAAAGCTCTAGTTGAGGTCGCGCAACCTCGACAATGAGACGTCAAAAGTCATCCAACCGTGGCAATTGACAATTGGTATTGCGCGTCCTTGGCGATAGCCCTCGTCGGCCCATGAGCTGCGTCGCCTTGTCGGCCAATGAGTGATGCTGCCGCCGCCACCCCTTGCAATGACATAATTCTTCTCTCGTTCTCTCTCTTTTAGGGTTTGGTCTTTTCGAAATACATGCTAACTTTTTTTTCCGATCGACCCTGAAAATTGCATGTAAGCGCCAATTGTCTAGTCAGCGTTGATGTTATGCTAATGCATCATTTTACAAGTACCAATTCGAACAAAAATACATATACTTTTAAGAACCTAATTGCACAAAAAAAAATTAGATGACTGATCAAACAATTTGAAAAAGTTCAAAGACCCGTGGCGGTGCTTTTATCTAGACCTATTAAATGGGTCAATACAACTTTGAATAGCCCATCTTAAATGGGTCTTAAAGTTTTAAGCTTATCATAAATGGGTCTTAACGAGTTGAGTGTGGAATTTATTTCCAACCTACCCATTAAGACCACCCCCGTTTTATAAAAATATATTTTTTTAAATCGAAATTATTTTTTATTTCTCTTTTTATTTTATTTTTTCATTTTTCTTTTCTTTTCTTTCTCTTTTCTTTCTTTTCTGCCGGTGGTCGGCCACGACGACGACCGGCCACAGTGGAGGAATGACCTCGCCGGAGGCCAGCGAGGCCTCAGGCTTGCCGAAATTGAGCGAGCTCGGCCTCGCCAATATGGCGAGACTCGAGCTCGTCGGCCTCACCAATATGGCGAGACTCGAGCTCGTCGGCCTCGGCCTCGCCAGATCGGCGAGCTTGAGCTCGCCCGAGGCCGGCAAGCTCGAGTCTCGCCAGCTCGGCGAGGCCGAGCTCGCCCAATTCCGACGAGCCCAAGGGCTCGCTGACCTGTGATGAGGCTCCGGCCTCGCCAATCTGCTGGCCGGCCTCGAGAGAGTTCAACCTCGCCGGATCTGGTGAGGCTCAGCTCGTCGGAATCGGGCGAGCTCGAGCTTCGCCGGCCTCCGGTGAGCTTGTCCTCGCCTGTGGCCAGTGGCTGGACGCCGGCCGGCCACCAGCCAAAAATAAAGAAAAATAAAAAATAATTTAAAATTGGATTTTAAAAAAATAAAAATTATTAAAATGAATACATGAAGTAAAATCAAATTGGATTTTATATACTAAACGCCGAAAAATATTTTCTAGTTCATTTTTAGGTTTCAGTCAAACACTGGAAATTTTTTTATTTTCTTGGATAATAACTTCATGAAAAATATTTTATAAAAATGTTGCATTTTTTGCGAAACAAGCAAAACCTCAATTTTGAAAAAAAATTATAAAAATATATTCATTAGCTTTGTATTGTATGAAAATGTTTTAGTAGCATAATTTTTAAAAAAGTCATAAGAAACAAGTTTTCCTATATTGAGTTAAATATGGAAGTGTTTTAACAATATGAGTCGGATCGGGTATAGATTGAGTATGGGTCGAGATATTTACATTACAAATAAATGGGTCATAAACGGGTTAATGGGTCAATTGGGATCAGACCATTTATGACCCGACCCGACCCAGCCGTTTAACAGGTCTACTTTTATCTCATCTTCTAAAGGGGGAGAAATGAATTCCTGCGGACCATGGGCTTGTTGCAAGGCCCAACTGAAGTTTGACAATGGAAAAGCTCCAGCCCAATAAGCAAATAGGCCCATTCTCTCCCAAAAATGCTCAAACCATTTTTCTTTTCCTTTTTCTAAAAATGTGACCCATTTGATTACTAAAAACGTTGCATTCGCTATTGAAATCTCCAAGTTTAGTCTGATGAATATTCATGACCAAAACAGAAAAGGTCTGATGAACATGAAATGGATTCGATCGATATCATACGTGCGTCTTGAGCAAGATGCATTTGAAATGTATTTGATCAAGATCATACATGACATCTTGATTCTGATACGATAATTTACCATAGTTTCTTGTACTTAGACTGTAATAACCTTTTTTTGCGATGGGTTTCCTAATATGAACCACTTATCAAGAGGTATGCTTCGGATTGATCTCGGTATCCACCAATTGCTTGGTGGCAACGATGGCCTTAGGTGTCGAGTGTGACAACGATGACACCAAGCATGGTGAGCGACGACAATGGCATTAAGCAATGAGTGATCAACAAAACATAAAATTGTAAAAGGACAAAAAAAAAAACAAGGCCCCTCCGCGTACAGGTACTTGGTTGAAGCATTAAGGCTGCGTTTGGTCGTCTGGATTTCTAGTCAGGATAAGATTGGATAGGATAGGATTTGAAATCCAAGGGATTTGCTGTATCCTATCTACTGTTTGATGAATCACGGAAATAAAGCCGGATATTTTCACATCTTACCATGCTCATTATTTGCTATGAACGTCATATTAATATAAATGAACCCAAGAATTGCATAAACGGAGATTACAAAAAATCTCTCTCATGATACTTTTACCTATTTCATTTTTATTTGCTTCTTTTTATTATTTTTGCCTCTCTTTTTTAATTATTTTGTTTTTTATTTCTTTTTTCCCCTTCCATCATTCTCTAATAAAATTTTATTAAATAGTAAGCTATACTAATATACCTAAAATATATAATAAATATAAATACATTAGTATTGATTTATATATGAAATTTATATCACAAGATATAAATAAATTTTGAATATATAAATAAAAAACGAAATTATTGTTATTTTTTTGTTATTTTGAATTTTTTATATTAAAATTCATATATTATTGATATTCAAATATTATTTTAATTTTATTAATTTAACAAGTTTTTTATTCGACAAAATTAACTTTAATATTATCAATATTATAAATCATATCCACCTTTATCCTACCTCCCCCATGAGATAATTTTATTCGGGTTATATCCCTCCTATATCCGACTTTATCCTATCTTGAGCAGATACCAAACACGGGATATGATAAAATTTATCCTATCCCGAATTTTATCCCGACTATCAAACGTAGCCTAAGAGATTTTAAATTCAAGAATTGGGATCACATGTTCAAATACCAACAATTGTACATAGACTATTTTAGTTCGAGGTGCAATTTGTGAGACATTTCATAAGTCTTCAAGTATGTCCGTGAATAATAAATAAGCAAGAAAAATAAGACAAAAAAATCATTTCGTTTTAAGTATTGCTGGCACTTCTAATCATGGAAAAGATAACACAAATGCTCTATGTATTGTGTTTTAATGTGCAATGCCATTCCTGAAATTGTAATTTGTTCAGTGTATTCAATAAACTTTAGCTCGATGTATAACGTGATCCCTGAACTTTTGTTACATTATCAATTTAGTCCCTAGACTTATTGAAAATGTTCAATATTATCCTTGAACTTATATTAATAGAGTCTGTGGACTATTTGACCCAAAAAAATATATAATATAGGGATTAGATTAAACATTTACCAAAAATTCAGGAATCATATGGAACAAATTAAAAGTTCAAAGATGATATTAGGCTAAAGTTTAGGGACCATACTAAACAAATTAAAATTCAATGACTATTGCACATTAAACCAAAATTTAGAGACAATTTATGTAATTATCTCTCTAATCATCTGCTATGCATAACTTCTTATTTAGCAAGCGAGCTACGTTTGCATAAAATGTTAATATGACATTTCATTTTTACAAAAGAATCACACTTATCCACCTTTTAAAAATTTAGGTATTTTTATTTTAGTAAAAAAGATGAACATTAAAAGGAAAACGAAACAAATTGTCTCTGAAACTTTGTCTGATGTGTAGTGTTGTCTCGAAACTTTTAATTTGTTTAATATACTCCATGAACTTTAGCTTAATGTGCAATGCCTTTCCTGAACTTTTTAATTTTTTCGATGCGTTTCCCTAAATTTTTGTTCGTGTTCAATTTAGTTTCTAAACTATATAAAAATGCTTAAAGTTATTCCTAAAATTAAATTAATGATAGGATAATATTAGATATTTTCATATAGTCTAAGGACTAGATTGAACGTTCACTAAAAGTTCATGAATCACGTTGAATTAAAAGTTCAGGAACGGCATCGTATATTAAACCAAAATTAATGTACTATTTGTCTAGTTATCCTAATTCTAAGGGGGTGTTTGGTTCAACTTTGGAAAGGGGTTTTCGGCCTCAAAAGCCTCTTGGGGAAATGCTAAACTGTTTGGCAAGAATTCCCAATGGGCTTTTGGCCGAAAGCCAACATTGGGAATGCTCAAAGCCCAAAACTGATTCGGACCAGCTTTGGACTTTTAGCATTTGGCAAATGCTGAAACTAACTTTTTTGCCCCAATTTACCTTTACTTATTTTGACTCATTCCGATTTTGCCCCTCTTAGTACTGTTCATCTTTTGCACGAGGGCAGCCGACACCCGATTGGGCCGGCGAGAGGCCGATGAGGTCACACGACCCAGTCGATGGCCACCTGAGGTCGCACGACTCCAGGCGGGTCGCCCGGCCTCGGGTGACGGCCACCGGCGGCAGATTTGGCTCGCCGGAGGTCGGCCAACCTCAGGCGATGGCTGCCGGCACCAGATCTAGCTCGCCGGCGGTCGTAGGCCTTCGCAGCTCCGGCGAAGGGTAGGGTAAGTTTTTTTTTTGATAAAAAGGTAAATTTCCAAAGACATTTGCAAAAAAATTTGTTAAATATTACTTAAGCCAAAGTAGCTTCACAAAAAGATTTTTTACCGAACGTCATTTACCTTTCTCCAAAGGTTTTAACATGAAGGTATTTGCAAAGTCTTATTTGTAAAATTGAGCCAAACGGGCCCTAAATTCAGGGAGGCCACGTCACCCGCGAAGAAGTCTTGATGGGAAGTGCCACGTCACCGGCATCTGTTGCCGCCGTTGTAGTCCCCTTCGGAACCGTTTCTGTTCAACCTGAGAAAGCAGAGAGATGCACGGGGGCATCGACCTCCTCCTCCTCCTCCTCCTCCTCCTTCTTCGCACTTCCTCTGTGCTCTGCATTTCGCAACCGAAAGAAAAACCTAACGCCGGCGATCGCGGCAAAGCTCGGGCAGCGCGGGAGCGAGAGAGAGAGAGAGAGAGAGAGAGAATGGGGAATTGGTTCTTCAAGGAGCCGCCGCCGCCGCCGCCGGTGGTGCTCGTGCCGCCGCTCTTCGACTTCCCCCCTCTCGCTGCCCGCACCAGGTCACCGCGCTGATCATTTCCTTCGCTCGCGCCTCGTTGTGAAAAATCCGTGTGGTTTTTTCCGCGGCAACTTCCCCGAATTTCTTTCTGTCGTTGGTTGGGGCACTGGCGAATCTCGTGGAGCTTGCTCCATCTTGGTGATGATCGTTCTTAGTTTTTTTCTATAGAGCTAACGGTTGCGAATCGGAAGCCGGCGCTCGTTTTTTCGCGCTGGTCAGTGTGATTTCTATTTTTTGGTTTAGCTGAAATGCTTGTGCTCGTGGAGAATCGTCAAAGAATTCAGTGGGGAGCTCTGATTGCGACTGTTGATTGGTATATTTTGTGCGATCAATGTGAAGTTGCACCACAAATACGGGGTATAGCGAGCCGGGCGCAGTTTTTCCCCGTATATGTTTGAGTTTATTTCTAATAGCTTATGAAGGCCTGCATTTCAGCTGCTCTGGTCCTTGGAAATGTTGTCTCTCCTCTTATCACTCGGCTAGGATTATAGAAGAGCAAGTCCTATAGATTTGATTACGTTTTCGATTACAATGTTGTCGGGCAAAAGATTATTTTGTACCCGGCCTACCTTACGCAGTGGATTTTTCCGGCTTTTTGGATCTTCACTGCTCTTTTATATATGAAATTGCTGTCTGCTGGTGTAATTTGTTTTACTTCAATTTGAGGACATATTCGGCGATTCGTGAAAATGAAGAATGTTTTGGGTATTGCAGAATGTTGGAGTCCTCGTACAATTTGTTATTCGGGAAGCTTGCTCTTAAATGTTTGTTTGACGACTATTTTGAGGATGCAAGACATTTCAGCACAAGAGTAATGTTAAAGCCAATTGATGATCCTCATGTGGATTTGGTGGCAACGGTATCCTTCCTTACTCTCGCTATTTGCTGGAGGTTACACGCATAATGCGCAAGATTCTGTGGACTTCTCTTGCTGCTACAGTCTCTTTTTCCTTGACTTTTATAGGTTTCCGGTCCATTAGATCATAAACCAGAAGAGCAAATTGTAGGAAATGCAATATTTCGATGGCAAAGGTGATTAGTTTTCTTCTGTGAATATGCTTCATTATTATGAGTTATGTTCTAAAGTTACTAATGATACTTAATCTTCTTTTATGGTCTCTGTAAGAGCAGTGATGTGGATGATCCTCATACCTTCGTGGATCTCTTCGTATCAAACTCTGATCCGTAAGAAAAATTATGTGAAGATAAATTAACTATCACTAGTTTGTGTTTACGTTCCCCGATTACAATATGAGGCTTAGTTTTGCTGTGGTTGCTGCGCCATAGGAACTTGCAGGTGAGATCATGTGCTTACTATCCTAGATTTGGGTTTGGAGCTTTTGGCATTTTCCCTTTGCTTTCGGCGAGGAGGTAAATTCCTACACAACTCATCTCAGTGAATTACTTTGGCCTCGCATGCTATATGGATTCCTTTTTATTTATTATTCTTAATTCGCATAGGTTCATTTTTATTGACACTGCTTTGTACTCCAGCAGAGCATCGTCAGAAGATTATGGTGTTGTGGGCTTGAGATATGGCTCAGGAAATTTATCCATGGGTGCCACTTTGATGCCATTCTCTGGTAAGTCACCTCATTATGCGCTTATCTAAATTTTTCTAACCATATGCCACACTCGACATTTATAGCTTTATTTTCTGCAGTGATTTTTTGTTATTACATTTGATTAGTAGTCACTGGTTAACTACTTCTTTCTTGTGTCATGGCAAGGCAGTGGAACAACATTTGACTCTGTCATTGTTAAGTTACCGAACATTTTACTCCTATCCTTGGTTGTATCTTCCCAATAGGGTGAAGGACGGAGTGAAGTCTGGGGAAAGTTCATCATCTAGAAAAACTGATAACCGGACAACCAAGATGAGATAATATGCTAGTACCTTGAAAGAATAACCTATTGATCTTCTTTCTCGTCAGTGCTAACTAACTCCCCTCTTCTTCATCAGAGAGGAAATTCTAAGGTTTGAAGTTGTTAATACTGTGGTCTTGCCTTGTTTGCATTGAGAAGGGTCATTGTAGCTTGTCTAATTACTTCTGTGCAGCTTACTGAAATGAAATTAGGGTCATTACATTTTGGTATCTGATACAGTGAAGGATGAGCTGCCGAGGACTGCGTGGCTGGTGAGCAAAATGGGAAGACTAACTGCTGGACTGCAGTACGAGCCACTATGTAAGGCTTCTTCATGTAGTGAGGCTAGTATAAGTCAAATTATTACATTAAGAACGTTTGACTTAGGAAGAAGATATTATAAATCAGGAAGATATGTACATGTTACTGCATGTATCCTTGTGAAAAGATTGGCATACCTCACACTGTGGTAAAGTATGCTCGGACCGGCAATAGCATGCAGTTGAAACTGGTCATCTGAAGGCATTAGATCCATTGTCCTACAATCCTGTATCTTATTCTTCTGGGAGCATTTAATAGAACTTTCTTTCTGAAAATATTATCTAGCGGGTGTGAAGGAGATAGAGCAAGCACGTTGTGTAATTGCAGCTGAACATATGGCAGATATCCATTAGTATAGTTCTGTACATCGGACACATGGCAGATTTTGATGGTCAGTCTTAACAACCTTTCGAAATATGCATGTGCATAATATCTAGGTGATGTGGATGAGACTATGAGAAATGTCTCTGATAGTTTAAGATGCTTGGATGATTTTTTGCCCTTTTTTGTTTTTTCAATTGCTACTTGTACCAGATGGGAAAGAAGACATTGCAAAATATAAGAACTTGCAGAACTGGAGTTGTGCAATTGGCTATGGAGGAGGATCGGGCAGTCCCTTGAGCCCTTCCTTCAATTTTAATCTTGAACTTGCAAAGAGTTCCCAGGTATCTCTATGCCCGGGTTTATCTAGCCCTATGGAGTGGTTAAGAACTCTGATGTAGTCTTCACCTTTTTCCAATGGTTCAATAGGTTATAATGTGGACTTTTAGATAAATGTTTGAGGTTGTTTGGAAGCACTCATCAAAAGCGTACAATCTTGTTCAAACTTAGGGCAGTTCTTTATTCAGAGTTTAAATGCAAGGTTGCCCTTCACAATGTTCGGTGTGAATCCTTTTTACCTTTATACAATGCTTGACATAGATTCGTTGATTATAGTTTGCTATGATCGTCTCACTTTTCTTGGACTGCAGTTCATTGCCTCATTTTACCAACATGTGGTGGTCCAGAGAAGGGTATGCTACTTTTCCCTTTCCAGACTTTTGAGTCATGTTGTTTTCATCCTTATGTGTAGGTAATCTCGTGTTCATCGAGTTTACTTTTAGCCATTTATGCTGTTTTTATTGTACTTGTTGCGTTCATACAAATGGAATTTATAATTAGATACTAATGGTATATACTTTAGCTGCCTCAGGTTACATATTTTACATAATAAGATTTCTAGTGGTTCAAGATATAAACAATGTTAATGACGGATACCGCCTTATCATGTTGAATTCCACAATTAATTGAAGAACCCCATACTGTATCTGATTACAATTGAGGCTATGTACGAAAATGTTGAGAAAAGAAGAAGGGCAAGGAGGAGTGAAGAAATTTCATGGATTTGGTAGCTACAGACAAGTGGTGAATCTGGTTTAGCATTGTCCTGTTTTTGGTTCCTTTTCGGCAGATACAGGTGATTAGCTTGCTTTTCCGTGGAAATTTCCGAGCTAGTGTTAAAATCTCACGTCATCGTTGTTTCTAGTAAACTTGCAAGTGATAAGGTACTTAAGATCACGAACACATCATTCTTTCTGGTTGCAATTGGTACTTTCCTGATATGTTTCCTGCTATGTACATTATGACACCTATTGTTGCATGGCATTGTTTATAAAGCTCTGAAGTGCGTTATCCGAACAGGTGAAGAACCCCCTTGAGGAAAATGAAGTCGTTGGAATCACGAATTATATTGACTTTGGTTTTGAATTACAAACAAGGTACTTTAAATGCTGGAGTTTGTTATTTTGTTGCAGCAGAATATCTTAATAGATGAACTCCTTACTATAGGGTCGATGAAGCCCAAACGTCAAAAAACAATTCGGAGTCTACATTTCAAGTTGCTGCGTCATGGCAGGCCAACAAGAACTTCTTGTTGAAGGTAAGAGATTATCAGAAAATTTTGTGCTCGTTGCTATGTACTGTAGCATTAAGTAGTTGATATCTTTTTTCCAGGGTAAGATCGGTCCTCTAAGTTCATCAATAGCATTAGCATTCAAGTCATGGTGGAAACCTTCCTTTACTTTCAGCATTTCAGGTATCTTTTGGTTACATAATTTTATGCATTTGGTTCGAACCAGCTTTGTTCCATGTATGAATTGGAACTACAAAGTACTGCTATGATATAATTATAATTATGCTAAGATCTTTAAGTGAGAGGGAGAGAGAAAAAATTCGAAAGCCACATTATTATCATTAGCTTCATAAACAAATACATAAGGTGGCTCTTATTATAGAGCATGAGAGATGCCCAAAATCTGTTAAACTTTAATTAGACCCCGCCTATGAACCACTGATTAATGCTATTAAATATACTTCATCAGGGTGGAATACTACTTGTGAATTGTATATTCACCAGATTTGTTCCTTTGGTTTGTTCCCCCCTCCCTTACCAGTCCTTTAGATCTTGATTTGGTGTAGGTCTTAAGCGATAAGGTTTGTGCTAGTGATCGGTGGAAGCAAAAAATAATTCTGTTCAAGAATGGCTTTAAAGTCAAGAGTCCTTGAAAATAGATATGTTGGACATAGGATTTCCAACCTTGATAATGGAATGTTGCCTTCCAAAAGATCTTGCATAGATTGTTGAAGTTGGATAGCTGCTCGAAATCTTGTATTCAATTGGGCATGAAACGACCTCTATTTCTGGATTATTACATTATTCGTCGTTCTATGGTTGTGACTGAATCTTCTCATCATCCTGCAGCTACTCGAGATCGTTTGACTGGATCGAACTCCTGTGGGTTTGGTATTCGTGTCGAGCATCTAAGAGAAGCCAGGTTTGTGTTATTCTCGTGGACATGTTTGTTGCCTTTGCACGAGACTGTAATTCAAAATTTCCACAACTTTGCACGAGGATTCGTAGGGTGCCTCAAGCTTTCCCTTGAAGTTCTTCTCATCAAATGAGCGTGACATTATACATATTGGTATTAATGACGAAAACCAACCCCGCTCATTCTTTTTTCGATTCCCAAACTTTTGCAGCTACCAGAGAGCCGATCCAAATTTCGTGATGCTGACTCCAAACAAGGAGCACCTAGCGGAGGGCATGGCGTGGAAGACGGGGAAAAGACCGATGCTGCAGTCCGATGTCAAGGCTGGAAATTTCGAGGGCCTACCAAAGGAATTGAGACCCTTTGAGAAGATTTTATAGTTTATGCTTTTTCTCGTTTCTATTCCCTGATCGAGCCACCTTTTTCTTCACTATTCGGTTAATATTAGATCGAGGGATTCTCTCGAGGCTGTGTAGTGGCAAAATGTTCCAGACGTTTCAAGACTGGATAAACCATCTTTTCATCTGATGCTGTTACCCTCGCATCGCACGCATTTGGTCAGATATAATCTTTGTAGTGGATGATCAAAAGGAAGTGAAAAAGGAAAGAGCACTACGTAACGTAATTCAATGGCCACATTCTTGTGGCTGAGATGTGATTTTGAGGGGTGGGGACGCTCTGAATGCGTCGTGCACCGTTTGGATGCAATTCCAGAAGCCAAATGGTGGAACTCTCTAGGACTTCCGTCTATCCCGACGCACCATGGTACTTGACATTACACAACAAAATAGAGGGGGGAATAAGAAAGAAAAAAGAATAAACCCAATTTCTTTGTTTTTTTTTTTATATTGGCCCGAAGAGAAATGATGAAATTCTCATTGGTCGATTTTCTGGTGTGGATCGAGCAAGTTTAGGTTCCTTTATTTTTTTTTTCTTATGAATAGTTACAGGGGATATTCTCGACGAAGCTCCATCACAAATTTACAAAAAAAAAAAAAAAACAGAGAGAGACTTAAATCCTTTCCCGGCAGCTGTCCCGGAGAAGTTTGTAAACCGAAACATGGCAGCTGCAGCAGCTGCTGCTCCTTCCCATTCACTGATCTGCACCTCCTCTTCCTTCTCTCGCTCCCGCCTCGCCAAGCCCTCCAACAAATCCGCCCTCTCCTTCCGCCGGACCCCCGTCGCCGTCGTCGTCTCCTTCCTCCGCCCCGCTCCTCCTCCTCCTCGATTGCGGAGCTCCGATTCCGGCGGGAGCAATCTCCTCCTCCTCCTCCTGGCGACCGGGAACCACCACCACCACCGCCACCCACTCGCCTCGGCTCTCGACTCCGTCCTCCTCGTCTGCACCTCGATCGCCCTCTCCGTCTCCCTCCTCGTCGCCGACGTCGACCCGGCCTCCGCCTTGGTCGTCACCTCCCCTAGGAAGCTCCAGACCGACGAGCTCGCCACCGTCCGCCTCTTCAAGGAGAACACTCCCTCCGTCGTCTACATCACCAACCTCGCCGTCAAGTCAGTGCCCCATTCACCCTCCCCCCCATCTCTCTCGATTGGGGTTTTCCGTCTTTATTTAAGAGTTCCTGCACGCTGCTAGTTGCCACCGTTCGTGCTTGCCTTTTTTGCCTTCTCTTTTTTAATTTTTTTTTTCTTTTGATTTGGTGCATGGCTTGGTGGGATTTTTTGTGGTTCAGGCAGGACGCCTTCACCTTGGACGTGTTGGAAGTGCCGCAAGGGTCGGGGTCTGGGTTCGTGTGGGACAAGGAGGGTCACATTGTCACCAATTATCACGTCATTCGCGGCGCCTCTGATCTCAAGTTAGTCACCTCCTTCTCTCTGGTTTTGCTTCCTCATCTTCGAATCTCGCTGCTAGTTGCTGCAACTCCTACTACACGCGCCCGTTGGCCGGGCAATGTAGATGAGTTAGCATTGTTTGCCTCTCATCTATGTTAAGTTAACTGGATATATATAAGGTGCTTGCCGGAGACAATTAATGAATTGTACCACTTGAGGTAGATTGCAACCTGCTTTCATGCACAATCGTAGTGAATTGCAATTTTTGTGGCTAGGTCTGTTTACTGGTGAATTTCGATTGAAATTTGGTTATGATTACATTGCCATTTCATCGGTAAGCAATGAATTGCTTCGCCTATAGAATAGAACCCTCCTGTCATGCTTCATCTGGAATTTGTCTGTCGACTAGAACTCTAGAGGCCAGGTCGCTGGATCCATTTCCTGATGCTAATGGATCAATCTGAAAGCTCCCGTAGTCTTCTTCGGTGTAATTTGGCTGTAGTTGCCCACAGGGTCACACTTGCGGACCAGTCCACGTATGATGCGAAAGTTGTTGGATTTGACCAAGACAAGGACGTCGCGGTGTTGCGCGTCGATGCACCAAGGGACAAGCTTAGACCAATCCCAATTGGTATCTCCGCGGACTTGCTTGTTGGTCAGAAAGTCTATGCAATTGGCAACCCTGTAAGCACGGACATTCGCTTTACCATTCGAACGGTGTTTTCGCTGTTCCTGTCCATGATTTGTGGTCCAGGTCTTACCTATAAAGTCTTGTGAAGTATAATTTCCGTTTTCCTTTCCCGGTGAAATATGTTCATTTCAAGAGCTTTTACCTAGTATAATTACTTCACAACCCATGTATGCGTGATACATCTGAATAATGTGCATTGTTTCTTTCAACTAGCATTTCGGCAAATTTCAGATGCTTATTTTGGACATAAAACCTTCATATTACCTCAATTTGATAACTTCTAAATTTTTTCATGTGAAGAATATGGTACGGTCACTTTTGAATGTCTTAAGATATGCGTCTATTTTTTTTTCTTTTGTAATTTTAGAGGCTGAGTGAGTCATGTGGTTTAGTTATTGCTCGGCATGAACGTGGTGGGCAGGAGTGGCAAAGTTTAGGTCTTAGCTCTAGTATTTAAGAGATTGCATGGAATTCAATTTGGTTGAAATCCGAACTTTGTTTTGTGGATATAATCATTTGATATGATGTTTGTTTTCTTGCAGTTTGGACTAGACCATACCCTCACCACTGGTGTTATAAGGTATGATACTGTGAGAAAGGAGCTCTGCAATGTCAAAGAAGAGCATCTTCCGTTTTTTCATGCTGCCTTTTATTTCCATTTGTATTTTTTTGGAGATGTCTTGCATTTACATACACAAAGTTTTCGCAGTTAGGAATCTGCACGCTTAATCCAATTTAGTGGTACTGAAAAGAAAAGGCAGAGTGGTAATCAGTTTTGAGGGCACATTATTGGAGGGGTAATTAGACTAAAAAAATTAATTGATCCTTGGCCACGAAAATAATCAAGGAGCTTTTAATCATTGAGACTCTCCCTATAGCTTGACTGGATTAACGGCAGTTTTAATGTTCCATATTTGTCCCAATTACAGTTGGGTCTAGCTTCAAATAGTGATCTTAAAGTTCTTACAAGTTGAAAAGGACATGATCTCTTAAACTGGAGAATATGCTTGAGGAATCAGCTGTTTCCAGTTTATCCATCCTGCACTAAGTCTGGAACTAAAGAAGAAACCGGGCAGATAACGTGAAAGACAAATGCATGCTTCTGATTTTTTTTTCGGGCCAAGCATGCTTGATTGACTTACAAGTTATAAGTAGAGAATTTTGTATATTTGAAGTGAATGTCCCTCTCATTTTATCCCCTTCCTCTTGCAGTGGCCTTCGCAGAGAAATCAGTTCTGCTGCCACTGGGCACCCAATACAAGATGTCATATAGACAGATGCTGCAATCAATCCTGGTAATAGTGGGGGGCCGCTACTAGACAGTTCAGGAAGTCTGATTGGAATTAACACAGCAATATACTCTCCATCCGGTGCTTCCTCAGGTGTTGGATTTTCAATTCCTGTTGACACTGTGAGTATTTGTTGGACTTTTTTTGTATCCTTCAAGGCCTTTGCAGTATGCATTCTGTAGTTGAAGTCAATACTGGCATAATTCAATTCTCGTAGCATAATTCAATTCTCATCTGCTTTATGAGTAAGTCATCGATACAAATTTATTGATCCAGGTTGGTGGAATTGTTAATCAGCTGGTAAAGTTTGGCAAAGTCACTAGACCAATTCTGGGTATTAAGTTTGCACCTGATCAATCTGTGGAGCAGTTAGGAGTAAGTGGAGTGCTTGTGCTAGATGCCCCTGCTAATGGACCAGCTGGCAAAGCAGTATGCTCGATCTTCTTCTGGCATCATATCTACTATGTCTCTTCACAAGTTTAGTTCTGTTGAGACAAAGGCTCTGCTTCAATGCAGATAATGCTTAATTGTTTTTAATCTGGCAGGGCCTACTACCAACCAAACGTGATTCCTATGGTAGGCTTATTTTGGGTGACATCATAACATCAGTCAATGAAAAAAAAGTCAGTAATGGCAGTGATTTGTACAGAATTCTTGATCAGTGTAAAGTGGGTGAAACGGTATGTGCTTTATGAGCTGCTCGATTTTATTATTGGTGGTGCATGCTAAATGAATGATAGCTATCTTACGTGATATGAGCCAGAAATCAAAGCTATAGCTGTATGAATTAAAACTGCATCAAACTTTAAGTAGGCTGTCATATTAATCGAATCTTGGATGTTCTTATGCAGGTGACTGTGGAAGTTTTGCGTGGTGATCACAAAGAAAAGATACCTGTTGTCCTTGAACCAAAACCAGACGAGTCATGATTAGCCAAATGGTTCGAGATTGCAGTTTTGTGCAGTACATTTAACGAGTTAATACCATTATTTTTGTGCATCTGCCCTTTTCTCTGGTTAAGTCATGTTGTACATATTCCTTGTTTGTGCTGAATGCCCGCCTAAATTGTAAAAGCAAGCATAATACCAAAATGCAATTATGACATTTTATACAGCTGTTGCTAAGTTTCTTCCTCATATATCACAATACCTGGGTTAGACAAGAAGCACAGCCCACTCGACAATCGCCATTACCAGTGTAATGGGAAATGCTAAACTGGAAATAATGCAGAAGTCAACAACAAACCAAGTAAGCCTGGTCAGAGATTGATGTGCAATGGGACAAGCATGTATTCCGATTTCAGATCTTGTTCGTGCAAGTGGATGATTTCTGTTCCTCCACTGGCAATGCCTAATGGACAGCATGGGCACAGTCAGACCGAACTGTCATAAGAAGCCATGGATAGAAAAGTAGGAAGCTTTTATGCTTGAAACTTAAGATCGGTGCTCATTATTTACAGTGGAATGGACGCTTTTCAAATGAGGAGCCTAAATTATGAGGCCTGGGCAAGAAAGCGTATATATCAGGATACAAATCCAGCAAAACTTTGTGCATTTTTCAAGCAGGCAGTCAGTGATTGTTGTCAAAAACTCCATGTGGCCATTCCTCTTTTTTATTTTTATACATCTTTTGTGCGGCAAATGAAAAATTGATCACCACCCGAAAAGTTGGTATTGAGAAGTTGAGCATAGGCAATGCCTGCAATTTGCAATGCACGATAGACAGCAGAAACTGTCACCTTTTGGTGGCTCCACCTGAATCAAGAAGGTGAAGTGGAAATCACATGTGAGGCCAAGTACATGGCGATGGCTATAATGCCAGTACACTATGCTCAAAAAGGTATTCACCTCAATCACCATCCCTGGTTTTTCAAGCACCTACCATCATTTTCCCATGCATTCGGGTATGCATCTTTTGATTTCTTGAAGTCGATGTTTAAAGGAAAGATGCAGATGCAATCTTCCAAATTATTCGCAACATCTCAATACACGAGTTAGGCAATTTCACACGGCTTGTGTATTGTTACGTTGAGTGAAGCTCATGAAACCTATTAGGCCGATAATCTCACCGGAATCTTCTTATTATAGTCTGATAACTGTCCTCATCGAGTCTATCACTGTTTTCTCTGATTACTCGGGATTTCGGAAGCTCGAGAACCACATTAGAGAAGATCATATCAGTAATTCCCGACTGCTAATCGCGACTCGTCACCCCGGTGAGGTCGAGAGGTCGGCATTGTGGTTTACCAACGGAAATAACCTCCAAGAAAGATGATAGGGAACCTTATCGAGCCCAACATGAAGGACCAGGAGATTGATAACTAAATGTGGTACTGAGTCGTGCACAATCAATAGTTTTACCAGACGACGACGATGGAATCAGATAAATGGTCCTCCCTCTGCTGGTCTGACTTTCCATGGACCATGTGTGTCTCTTGTCCTTGGATTTTATGACCACTCCGACCTACTTCGACTGTCCAGGATCATTATACGTATAAACGAATGGTTTAACTTTTTTAATTTAAGCAACATTCACACTGTCCTTTCACAAATCTGTGCCCTAGACTCTCGGGCTACTACTGAAACTTCATTCAGAAATTTCTAATATTTACCCATGTCTTGTCTAGCTATCTGCCCCCTTTTACTCTTTTCCATCTTGCTCCAAGTCATGTAATAGTTGGAGCATTCCAGCTCTGCAGTGAAATGAATCCAAAGCTTTGGATGAAAGCCTGCAATTATCTTGAGAAATCAAGGCACAAAAAGGCCATCTAAAAGGAAAGAGGAGGCAAATTATCAATTAACAAGCGATTTAGCATATATATAATACTCAGACAACATCCATTCTGTTATTTAATTTTCCGCTCTCTCAGCTCTGAGAAGTAAAAAATACATTCAAAGCGGGGGCAAACAAAAAACAGAAATCAAAGTTATGTACAAGTTTATTCATTATCATCATGTTAGCCAAGTTTTCTTTCCTCTGTTTTTTCACTTTTTTTTTTTTACCGCAACAACACAGAGATACCCTCTTTCAGCTTATAAAAGGGTGTGACATACTGAAGCATAGTTGCTAGTGCGATCAACCCTTTTTTCTTCCTGGTTCTTAAGCCAAAAAAGAAAGAAGAAGAAGAGATGACAAAGATGGAGGGAGGACTAGGAGGGAGTCAACTCAAGAAAGGCTTGTGGACTGTGGAAGAGGACAAGCTCCTCATGGACTATGTAACAGAAAATGGGAAAGGAAAGTGGAATTCCATAGCTAAGAGGACAGGTTGTAGAGACAAAATTGTCCTCTTCTTTAATATGTTCTCACTTGTTTTGCTTTGTCTTTTCGAGATGAACTCACGGTCAAACCACAATGGCTTTGTGATGTATAGGATTGAGAAGATGTGGAAAGAGTTGCAGGTTGAGGTGGATGAATTACCTGAGCCCGAATGTCAAGCAAGGTCGCTTTACTGAGGAAGAAGATGACCTCATTATTAGACTCCATAATTTGTTGGGCAACAGGTTACTTGCTTTCTTCTCTCTTTAAATATTCCTAGTGTCTATTTTTCAGCTATGAGAACCTCAGGCAAACTTGAATGGTAAAAGAAGCTATTTAGAGAGAAGATTCTCGTCATGATTATTCTTTGTTTCACTAGAGATCTGTTATTCAGCAAAATTCTTGGTTGGACTCATTGTTGTCTGGTCCCTCTGATATGATGATGCACCTGATAAAGCAGAACATTATATGTACACAAGGAACATTTCTCTCATAGGATTAGGAAATTCCAACATGGAAAATATGGAGGTAAAATTTTACAGTACAAGCAAATGTTAATCCCATTCTCTTCCTACTTTTTACTCTAGGTAAATTTTTCCATCCATAGTACAATTTGAGTTGCGCACATTTTTTATACTTATCGGTGTCAAAATCGATGCAAATGTATGGTAGCAAACTGGGATCTCAACTCTAATTGAGGAAATTATTTCCCCCCACTAGGTGGTCTTTGATTGCGAAACGGGTGCCCGGTCGAACAGATAATCAAGTGAAGAACTACTGGAACACTTGTTTGAGCAAAAAGCTGGGCATCAAAAAGCAAATTTGTGAAGTTGGGAGGACAAAATCTAGGATCTTGCATATTTCTGGGAGTTCAACACATCGGAACTCTATATCATCTTGTGCTGGCAACAGCGGGTCTTCGGAATTGAATGTGGACAACAAAAGTCTGAAATCCCAGGAGACATTGGACCTGCCGGAGTTGACGAGCAAAGAAGAGTATTCCACCACCTCTTTCTGGGATTTTGAATCCGATTTAGAGGTGAATCTAAGCACGATGGAGTTTTCTGGATGGACATTCTCTTCCTTGTAATGAGCATCATCCAAGGGTATTTTCTTACTAGTCTATCTGTTGAATTAGTAGCAGCGAGCTGGTGCAATAACCATAACAGATGCTTGTTCTCCTGGCAAAATGCTGAAGCTTGCATCGAAGACTGAAATCATCATGTCTAAGCGCATATTATTTCTAATCTTGGTTTCTTTATCATTGGGTGATAGTCTTTACGACAGTTTTAATAAATAAGCAATCATAATCCTGTATCAGTCCACAGGAAGAAAAGTATACTTTCACGGGGCCTCCAGTAAAAATAAAGAGTCTAGAATGTCAATCAGACCAGAAGAGGCATCCCTGATATGTGACTCAACACAAACAAAGCACCTCCGCCGGGTGATGAGTAAGTGAGATAGAGACCCCAATCCCTCTAATGCAGCCAAGCTGGCTTAATTGAAGAGAGAGACCCTTGGATTTTTCATGCGCTAAAATTAGACATGGCAACCAATTTACGATTCATCGAGGCATCTGTTTGTGCCTTCATAAAAGCACACTCTAGTTCTGTATTCTTGCACATGTAAGTTTTGAATCTATTTGGCCTCGAGTTTAATGAATAACTTCTGAACACCGACTTTAATATCCAGTCCCCTTATTATTTTATCATTTGTGCTTTTAAACCAAAGATGCGAATCATTTAGTTGATCAAATATTCTGGTTTTCTGCCAATTCATTTGCTACGTGGACTTCGGGTGAGGCCTAAATGCACCAAGAGTAAGAGAAACAGCTAATGAACTTGGCTTCAACAATGATTCAGATTCTAAACCACCAACTCTCTTGTAAAGGAGGTTTATCTACATAGCCCAGTTCATGTCGTTTCATGAAAAAACACAAACAGAGCCTCCTCTCTGCAGGGAACAAGTGACTTCTAAGCGTGTCTCTAGTACTCCCTAAAGCTTCCAATGCAGTATGGTGGCGACATCTTTCATCTGACAAACAAAAGAAAGAAAAGGCAAAATTGCCATATGAATCAAACTAAGTAGCCGACTTTATTAAATCATCAAATGCTCAAGAGACAAAGGAAACTTCAACCAGCAATCACACAAAAAAGGGATAAGCGGGCGATCAACGTCCATATTTATTGGAAAGAAGATTGCATAGGGTACATTTTTAGGGGAAAAATTAGCTTAGGAATTAAAGACGGGGGTCGCTACTTAATGTGGTCGATGATGATGTTCATACAGAGAGTGGTGGAGAGAGGCCAAAGTCAAGCCCCCAGAGCTCAAATGCCCCATTAACAAAGTCATAGTAGCCTCCCTTCAGTGATAGGGTCTTGTTCACCAGCCCATCTCTCACAAATGGATAAGTCAGCAAGTTTCCAAGTGATACATTCACCGCCTCCTGCAGAAATCCAACCCGAGACAAAAAAAAAAAAAAATATGAAACGCCCATGAGAACTATAAAATAAGTTGCCGTTCTCCATCAAAGAATCGAACTATTTCTTTGCCTTGTACCGAAAGCAACATTATCAACTGGAAAAATAGCTTAGCTAACTGGATGTTCAACAAAGTGGCTTTCTCAATGAGCTACTACTATAATCCTTCGACTTATAAAGTAGCTTTCTTAAGTGAAAATTCGGCTTTCTCTATCGAAATGTAGGTTCTTTTGACAACTCTAGTTCAGCTTTTTTTGCTAAGAACAGGTTTCATCCAGCGCAGTAGGCTCGATCTACCGTGTGGACCGGCACATGTCCTAAGAATAGCAAGCTTTGAGAAAGGGGTGATAGAATACCTTCTCACAGTGTTCGCATAGTACGGGGAGGGGAGCCCCACCGTGCTTCGAGATCACTTTGGCTTTGGCGGGCATACCGATCTTGACCCAATCTTCTATGAAGTCACTGGATGTCATTTGTCAAAATTCAATCAGGAACTAAGTATGAGTATCCCTCCTGAATGGTTTAGGTGACTCTTTGTAGCAACAGCAATGCGAAGGGGAGGGCTAATTGCTTACGTGGAGGTGGTTCCGTCATATGGGAAAGTCATCAGACCCTTGATTCCACCGCAGGCGCTGTGTCCAATGACCACAATCTCTTGAACCTGCGCAATGAAAATGGAAGCAGGGGAAAAAGAGCGCACATTGGTCGGCTATATGCTCGGGAATTCCTCAATTCTTGGTACACACTACCTTGAACTTTGATAGCATTCCCCTCTTACAGTAATCCAAAAATAACGGAAAGTCGATAGTCAATTACGTTATCCTTATTGCCACGGAATATATATAGACACACACACACACTCTCTGGGTTGTGCACTGTTTCTTGATATCTCAAACTTCAGGGGACGAAAATACTCGTCCAACAGTTTTGTTTTTTTTCTGTTAGAGGACACTTAAATGGTACACAAGTTGATGCGAGCGCACAAAATTTGAATGGAGTCTTACCTTGAGGTGCAAAACTGCATACTCGACGGCAGCTCCAACTCCAGCATACTTGGTCTGTTTGAAGCCAATACGAATTAACAAAGACAGCGTGATGATCATGTTGTGTGGAAATGAATTGGCAATCGCAGAACAAGATTAATGATTAAGTTTTGTTTCTTTTTATTTCCAAGGGAGAAGTGATGCCTGATCATATGGAGGGACCATGTTGGCGACGTTGCGGACCACGAAAGCCTCTCCTGGTTGGAAATCCAGCACGTGAGATGGGCACACTCTCGAGTCCGAGCAAGCAAACACCATGAACTGCGACATAAAGATACACCGTACAATCTTTATGAGAAATATTATCGTAACTCTAGCAGTGCATCTATGTATTCATAGTAGGAGATGGTTCATTTTGTGGTGCGTTATATGCTTGTGCGAACACGTGAAGTAATGTAGTTTCTGTAAATTTACCTTTGGACTCTGTCCTTTGGCCAGTTCACCATATAAGGCAGGGTTTTTGCTGAAACACATTGATGGGAAAAGAATAAATGAAAGCCGCAATGGTTGCAGGTGCTTATATCACACCTAAAGAGAAGCTAATATTGATCTAGATTAGCACGTGGAAATCAAACTGTAAATGCGAACAAGTAAACAAGCGGATCATACTCAAGTAGTGATGAGCTTTTGCCACATGTTTTACAAAACTGATTTTTATTCGCATCTTTTAGTATCTTGCATCACTCTATTTTATCTCAAACTTCAGAAAATGGATGATTTTAGTATAAAAAGTGTAGAGACAGAGAGAGGGAGGGAAAAACAGACTCGTATTTCTCCTTCTTGAAGAAGGTGAAGCCAGTTTTGATTCTCTCGACGGAGCTGGATAGCTTGGTGTCGGGGGAAGCAGTTTGCAACTCCGCCGTTATTTGCTCCACTTTCACGGCTGCTGTGGCTTTCAGGTCCCCCTTCTCGCTGTACAATCATAACTCATCCGTTCATATATTCAAGTGAAAAGAGCATCAAATAGTACTCTCGGAACACTCGTATAAGACTTTGTTACATATGTCCGATGAAGATGTACATATTGGTATGTGACGAGGTTGGTTTCTCTCGAAATGCATATTTCCTCAACTTTCGAAACGTCTGAATAAGCATTTTACTGCTTTGAGTGAGATTAACTAGTGACTTAAGAGCATACAAGAGCATACCAACCGCAGACCCTATTAACATATATTCAACTGACCAAATCCATGTCGGTATTATAGTCGATTTCCGATTAACAGGTGTATTAACATGTAAGCTGTCTCTATTAGTGCACACTTCACAAGCTTAAAAACTGACGAAGCCTTGAAGGGTTCAGTTCAGACATGACAAGAAAAACAGAGGTAGAAGGAAGCAAAAAAGAAAACAGTTGAGCAAAACAAACCTGAGGAGTTTCTTGAGAGCCTCGATTGCCTCGTCATAGTCCTTGCCCATGTCTTCTCTCTGCAGATTATCACGGCCCACATAAGAGCCAAGTCAAGAATCAGAAAATAAGAAAAGCTCTCACCGGATATCGAAACTACACGTCGAATTGCTCAAGACGAATACTGAATGATCCTGATCAGATGCATACGGATTGATGCCGGCTTGTTGGATCGAACTCTAAAACATGTATGAGTTCAGGTGTATCTTCTCATTCTCCTAAGCTCCAAATGGAACTGAGGTCAACTGAGGATATGAAAGGAACTTTATATACGTGAGTGAATAGTGATTACGTGCGTGTGGGGTGCCGTGGAAACTGGCTTTAAATGGACTGTTTCTATACATAACTCCTCGTTTCCCTGTTTGGTTATACATGTGGCCTGAAATTCGCGGGCAAAATCCGTATCTTCTTTGACTTGGCCAGACGTTTCTCTCTTCCCTGTTCTAACTCCCGGTAGTTAGGAGACTGCATGGTGGCGGTTGATGGGATGTCTCTCGAATCATTTTGAGCCGCACATTTGTCGCTATCGGCACACACATGTCAGTGAAAATGGAACCCAAAAAAAAAAAAAAAAAAGAAGAAGAACAAGAGAGAAAAATCGGCATGCATAGTATACTACGACACTTATATACCCGTCCGTATCGCAAATAGGGCGTGATGTCGGTGTCGTCCATTGCATTTTCTTAGTCTCGTCCAAACTAAAAAATGTCCTCGTTCATGCGACGAAGCCTAATCAAGTCGGACGCAGCTACTCTAAATTTGAATGAACACATGTTCAAGCGTCGAGTACAAGAAATGCACTTGCTGCTCACTTAATCCACGTGAAGTTTTCTACGTACCAAAAGGCAAAGGCTTGTTATGTCCAGTTTTCTACGTACAAGGAATTATTTTATTGTAAGAGCATTGTTAAATGCATGGTTGCTAAGCGGAATAACAGATACATATCTAGAGAGTGCGAGTGCGTGCGCACGATTGAGAGAGAGAGAGAGAGAGAGGTAGGTACCCAAGCGGGGTTGATGACTGGGGTGGGGGCGGCGAAAACGGGCTCGTTACAGATGAGGGTCGGAGGAGAGACGGAGGAGGAGGAGGAGGAGGAAGAGCCGAGGCGGGCGGAGAGAGAGGGGCGCGGTCCGGCGGCGGCTCTCTTGAGAGAGGACGGCTGGGCGGGGGAGAAGGAGGTGGCGCACCAGCTGCTCACCGGAGCGGTCGACATTGTGGCAAGGGGCCCTCGCGCGTGGTGAATTTATAGCACGCGAACCACCGCAAATAAATTACTATCACGAGAGCGAAGGGTGGTCGAAGCAGAAGAAGAAGAGGAG